ATATCCAAGGCCGCGTGTTCTCCATCCATGTTCTAGATATTCCTTCTGCCAGGACCTTGAAACCACTAGACTAAAGGTGGGACAAGAGGTAGCTAGAACTACTAGGGTACGGAGTTAGGTGGACCCCACTCCACATACATGGTCATTGGGCACAGGGTTGCTGTTGCCCATGGGCAGCTTGCAGAAGTGGCCATGCTGACTTATCATGCCCTGGTGTGTGTTTGTGTGCGTTAGAGAGAGAGTGACCTTTGCAGGCAACCAAATTTCATTTTCTTGTTTATCTTGGTGGGTTTGCTAAGTGATTATTATTCAGGCATACCTTAATGTGGAAAGTCAATGACCTGAGAAGTTGTCTTGGAGTAATCCTTATAAGAAAAATGTATACAGCATTGCAGTAAAAGACTTCTTCTAATTCAGTCTTCCAACCAATGACAGAAACAGAGAGAAGACCTGACACCTCCCAATGTCAAAGAATATAAATATGCATCATGATATTCCCTCCCTTTTCAGTTAATCTCTTCTTCTGTTGAATCTCTGCAATCGATGTGGGTCAAATGTGGTTGTCTATGCCACATAAACAGACGTGGTTAGAACACTCACTTCCTCCAGTATGAGTTGTTAGTAAGACATTACTATCAGAGAGTTCAGCATCTTCCAGGAGTATACGAGAGGTACATATCTTTTCCATTTTCCAGTAACCTACGATAGTGTGAGATGTTATTAGCATTCTGCTATCTGTATGTGTTAATACATGCATATTTAATGATACACACTAAAGAAATGAGATACAAATGTCCCCCTTCCCAAAAGAGATTGAGTTAAGCTTCATTTTCACACCACATGCAAGGTTGTAACCATTGATTTTACTAGTTGTAGTATCTTACATGGGAAACATTTGAGAAGAGTCAAAGCTGCTTAAAGGATAACTACAAAAGGACATGAATTTCATCAGATTGAAATAGGCGGTCACATTTTACTGTTTGCTAAATCAATGCTAGCCTTGGAATAAAGTTATCTTACCCTTTCTTTTCAGGTATTCGGCAATAAGGGCAGCTATATGGATATAGCACATAGCAGCCTGCAACAAGAAATTGTATGCAAGTGTTAATATTAAGCCGCACAGATTTTCTTTATCCTCATAAATGTCAGGCAAGTGTTTTGCAGAAAGGTAGCCAAGCTTCACTTGACAGATTTATTAGTCTGAATGTTTGTGCAAAACAAGAAACTGATGCTGAAGTCTTTACTTGAGCTAAGCTCCAGTTACCAAGAGATTTGCCTAAAAAGGCTAAGAGTATGGCTAAATGAGAGCATCAGGATTTCAACCATAAAAACAACAATCTGGGTTATGTGCTTGCAAGAGCTTAGAAAATAAAGGAGTCTAAAATAATTTGAACTCTGAATCAGGTTTCTTTTGGGGTGGGGAAGGATGCACAGTAATACTCAATAAAATGCTTGCATTTTAACAAAATAATTGTTAGCAAATGTCAACGGGTGATAATACATGCTCTGCTCCAGCCAGATGTATTTAAGTCAGACTCATATAGAGTGCTCCTCCCAATCCCTTTTGGATACAAAATCAATCATTAGTATTTGCAAGTTACCTCTGATAAGTCACCATTTCTAGCATGGATCTTGGCCATGCTTTCTAGCCAAGTCCTACGCAATTCAGGCGTGCTGGCGTATGAATTTGCCAAACTGTACTGCAAATCCACTAGCATCTCGGGGTCCTTCTCATGTTCCTTCATTTGAGCTGTAGCCATCAAAACCGTCCTTATGCGTTTGGTCAAGTCTTTCACTTCTGCTGGGAAGTTACTGTTCTTTGGGGAGGAGAAGCAGCAGAAGTGTACTTTTAAACTTAGAGAATTTCCGTTTCCATGTTAAATCACATACTTTTGGCATAGATGACATAGTGGACCACACACACAACCACTGGATCCTGTGCTTTCTGGCTCCTGCTCCTGCTCCTGCTCATACACAGTTACTGACATCTTTGCATGCCACTCCTTTTTTGTGCATCATCTTTTTTATATAGCATTTGTCATGCAATTCAAAACCTTGATCATGTGCAAAGTGGTAGCTGCACATCTAGCCGCAGACAGGGCAGGTGGAATATGCAAGACTTCCCAAAGGTCATAGGAGTTAGCCAAAAGATACTGGGTCAGAATGGATGTGTATGGAGGCAAAAAGCCATGACCCCAATACATTTTTGTGAACCCTCTCCAGGAATCTAATACATACTTTGGAAAGTTATTCATTCACTAAGCATTTGGACACCTCTTGAGATACTGTAACACAATTTTGCATGAAGGTTAGTGAGATCAGGGAGCAGGTTTTTGTCTACGTTTGGATACAACCAGATGTCACTTTGAATCAAGATGGCAGACTGAACCATTGAAAACTGCACTGATTTTAATTGCTGATTTCAAAACTGCACTGATTTTTGGTCCCTTAGAATTCCAAGGGAACACTGTTGATGAGGCTACCAGTAGCATACAAAGCAGACTGAAAAGAGCAACCTCTTATAGAAGGTTTCTAGAACTGTAATGTCTGAAGGGACCACGAGGGCCATATAGTTTAACCCCCTGCAATGCAGAAATCTTTCGGCCAATGTGAGACTTGAACCCATGACCATGAGATTCAGTGTCTCATGCTGTACTAACTGAGATCTTCAGCTTTCCACTGACATTGATCTATTTTTTTCTAAAGGACCCAGTCCATGTGATACTTATCAGCATTATCTTTTTATTTATTACATTGGTGCCCTACTTTTCAGCCCTGATTAGTTCCTGAAGAAGCTTATAATGAATATCTACCAGAATATACAATTTCATCAGACTTTGTACTGATAAAGCAGGGGAGAGGGTGCCCAGGAACAACTGTTTCAATAGCCACAAAAATTGGTGTGATTTAGCAATACCCTAAATGATTCTGAACAAATTTCAAGTCAATATTGGGTAATTTATTTACTCTAGAAATAGCTTCAGTAATTGCAGTGGTGAAACAAAATACAATACAGTACCTGCATAGATATTAGCAGTAGGGACTGGACTGAATTATGCATCTCAGAGTGATTAGAAAATTAAGTATATTCCTTTTGCAAAATATATTTTTGGAAGATTTTCACAGAAAGGTCTGAGATTGTAATAGAGGATAATGTAGATTAGGACCCATCTATCTATAGTTGTAAGTAATACCAGTCATTTCTTACTTTCATTTGCTTGTCTCCATTAGCGAAGTTATTTGTAATCGCCAGTGAATGCTGAAACCGGGAGCCTCCAATTCCTGCATCTGCAATCAACTGGCTTACAGCTTTGATGAGCTAAAAAAACATTAAAAGGAGGTGTTAGCATAAGTAAATCAAGCTAGCAAGTGGTTATTCCTTAGACAAACTACTAGTACAACTTAATAGACTGCAAAAAGGGCTGTAGTTTAGGGGCAGAACATCTCCTTTGCATGCAGAAGGTCCCAAGTTCAACCATCAATTTCTCCAGGAAGGACTGGGAATGTCCTGTGTCTGAAATCCTGGAGAGCCTCTGCCAGCCAGTGTAGACAATACTGAGCTAGATGGCTCAAGGGTCTGACCTAGTACAAAGAGGATCCTATGTTGACTGAGTTACAACATGGACAATAGTCCAAGCAGTTGTCTGGGTCTCCATGTATATGCTCAAAGAGGGAACTAACGGCTCAAATGATGGCAGTGCCCCATGCCACATTTCAGAATTATAATCAGGGATATATAGGACACTAAGTGTGTCTTCTCCTGCCAACCTAGCAGTTTGAAAGCACGTCAAAGTGCAAGTAGATAAATAGGTACTGCTCTGGTGGGAAGGTAAACGGCGCTTCCGTGCGCTGCTCTGGTTCGCCAGAAGCAGCTTAGTCATGCTGGCCACATGACCCGGAAGCTGTACGCCGGCTCCCTTGGCCAATAAAGCGAGATGTGCGCCGCAACCCCAGAATCGGTCATGATTTGACCTAATGGTCAGGGGTCTCTTTACCTTTACGTGTGTCTCAAGAAGATTTCTACTCTGTGGACTGCATTTCCAGAATTAAACCTGCACCCTTCCAACCTGAAACTTTCCTTTAGTTTAAAAAGAAAAGTTGAGGTTTTTGAGATTTTGCCAAGGTACAGCAGGACTGGAAGAACAGAAGTCCTTGGGAACTCTATGTGATAATCTGCACATAGACACTGCTCATCTCTAGACTGAGTCGAGGCAAAAACTAAAACAATGCCATGACCAGGAAATTCAAAAAGTAATCTGTGTGGGATGCTTATTCATCACCATAGTGTTTACTTACCTGCAAATGGGACCTGACTATTGACTTCTGCTTATTAAATTCAAAGTTCTTTCTCATGAAGAAATACAGCAGAGCAGAGGCTTCCATTTGTGTCGACCGTGACCTGTGATTGCAGCACTTAAGAATTTCATAGCAGAATGAGCCACATAAGTCAGCCTGCCCTTGGAAGAATGCTGACGGGAACTATGGAGACAAAGATACACCTTTGCTACAACATAAGAGATTTCTTATAACACAAATGCAACATCTGTCAGTGCTGGAAGGCAATCAAAGACCTCATGCCACTTATAAACTGCCTACAGTTGAGAAGGAGCTAGTCGTGACCCACAAAAAACACCAACAAGATTATCTGCGTGGGCCATCGTGATCTCCAAAGATCATTGCTCAAGGTCATTCTGATTCACCCAGGTGTACATGTCCTAGGGATGCAACACAAGTATTGCTGCATATGTGGCTATCTGACACCTAGCTCAATGGTTGCAAGCGAGCACGAGGCAGGAGAAACACTCAGAGAGCAACATGTTGTATGGTCGCTGTGTTTAGTGAAACAGACCTCTCCCTCACTAGAAGTCTTCAGGCAGAGACTATAGACAGTCATCTCTCGGGGATGTTCTAGCTCTGGATTTCTGCAGTGTATAGGTAGAAGGTTGGATTGGATTGCAGTAGGAGTTGGCTAAATGGGGGTGCCTCCATGAACTCACCTTCACCGGCATCACTGCAGATTACTGGGAGGAGTGAGGCAGCAGCAGGGTTGGTGGGATGCAGATGTAGCACTGGAGTTAAATGGATGCCCCCACTTGCACCGACTTCGCTGCTGCTTCACCCCTCCCAGTTCGTTGCAGTGATGCTGGTGATGGAAGGTCATGTAAGGGCTGCTGCCTCACCCTTCAACTCTTATTGATCACGGACTCCTGGAAAGCATAGGGCTCCCCCCTTCTGCTTCGACAAGCATTACAGCCGGAGCCTCAATAACTTCTAAAAACATCCTAAGAAGTGGTTGAAATAGCTTTAAGTCCCAATTTGCTTTTGCTTCTGATGGGATTTCTTCTCCTCTTTAATTTTGATAGGATGTATCTAATATAAAATCTAAATAAATATAGTATCCAGTTAATGATATGAATAAATGAACTGAGATTTCTCTGAGTAATAACATGATCTGCTGAGCAGACTACGGAGAATAAGTAACATTATTCCCTGCATGCCACCTGTTGAGATGAGATTACTAACCACCATAGATATTTCAAGGAAGCATCCAAATCCATTCACTCCAGACAGTGGAGTGGGTGGCTCAGATGACTGGAGAAAGGACACAGCTCAGTGGCAGAGAGAACATGCTTTGCATGAAGAAGGTCCCACATTCAGTCCCTGATTTCTCCAGGTAGGGCTTGGAAAGACTCCCTGCCTGAAATCCTGGACAATCACTGCCAGTCAGAGTAGAGCTGCTGAGCCAGATGGACTAATGGTCTGACGCAGTGTAAGGCAGCTTCTTATGCATCTGTACGTCTCCACTCTCCCCCTATTAAACAGGCTCCTGACAGTCTGCCACGTAATTGAAAGCTGTTCCTGCTGGGTTTGTCTAATGTTTCCCTTGGCCCTAGAAATATGCCACTGGCGGCGTTACAATATCACACGTTGCGAAAGAAAAGCATTCTCCTCGCATTCTGTTTCGAGTACTTCACCGTAGGGTTCCGTTCAAGGAAGGGCTTGTCTTTATCTGGCAAAAACGTGGCTTTTGAAAATTTGCCGTATTAAGCAATGACTGAAGATGGTGGAGGAAAAAGCTGTGAATGGAATGGGCAATGAGGAAGGGAAGGCCAGTTCAACTCCATGCTGCAGACGTATGAGTAGGACTGCAAAGGCTTCCCACTGGCATCTATCTGGTGAGAACAGAGGGCTGGACTAGAAGTGCCTTTGGTCTGGTCTAGCAGGTCTGTTCTTACGTGCTTATGTTCAGTAGTCCATGAACAAACACAAGGAGCTTTGCTGAAGAACTAGATTTAAAAAATAATAATGATCCTGGACTTTCTCTCCTAAATAATTCTTTATGAACTCTGATGTTGAATGTTGTCTGGGTATCAAATATCTACTGCTTGATGCTAAAGCTCAATTTAATTCCATATTTGATTTTAATATTTGTTATAAGAAAGGACGTGACTGTTAATATTTGGCTGTATTTGATCTTCAATAATATCGATCTATGATCAAATATTACAGCTGACATGCAATGCCTTTGTTGGAACTCTGGCATTTGATAGCTAGCATCTGCTGGTTTTTTTTAAGCAACCAACAGACTGATAACATGCCTATAGCAAGCAATGTCTGAGGTAAAATGTTGAATCTAAAATACAAATTTCTATGAGAAATTATCTGAAATTGTATTTCAGTACTGATTTGCAGGATGCAACTTGATCACCAATTATGTGGCAGACATGGTTTCAATGCTGGTTTAAAGAACAAACGAGCATTTCTTATCACAGGTGACCCAACTGTGGCAGGGACGTACCTTACTCACAAACAATCTAAGAGCAGCAAAGACGTGCTTGAGGGCTGCTGCAGAGTGATTGATTTGCAGAAACAGCAGGAAGGTATCAAAGACTTTCTTCATCAGTGTGTTCTGGCAATCTGATTGTTGCAGCTGTCTCTGAAAAACGAGCCAACAAACATCTTTCAGTCTTTCAAAAGCTAAACTGTCTGGCTTTCTCTGCATCTGTTTCTCCTGCCCAAATGGGCAAGGCCTGCTTTAACAGAATTAGCAACACAATATCAAGTCAGCTGCTTCAGTACCACCTCCCAAAGTATCTCAAATAATATCTTCTCCCTTAAAATAATTCTGCCTCCCCCCACTTGCTGCCTGTCAGGGAACTGCCATCGGACGGAAGGGAGGTGAAAGGGCTCACACAGGTTGGGAGAGACGCAGCAGCTGAAGAGGAAACCAACAGGGAGGTGAAAGGGCTCACACAGGTTGGGAGAGACGCAGCAGCTGATGAGGGAACCAGCAGGGGGAGAGGAGCTGAGCTGGAGGGATGGCTCAGAGACACTTCCAGCGAAAACAGTGGAGAAGTTTCAGGACCTCCTGTAAGAACACCCACTCCTCGCCGGAAACTGTCACGCAGAGATTCCAGAAGACGTGTTTCCGTTAAGGAGCTTTTATGTTGGAAGCGATTACGAAAGCAACCACTGTCGGAATCTGCTAGTGACTAGAGTAGCCATGTCTGAGGGGCTCTGTCACAGACAGAGGTTTGTGGACTTGAACAAACTCTGAGGGGATACGATTTTACGCACAAGCAGCTCATCATCCCATCACAGCATTCCGACAGTCTTTGAAAGCAGCTTGTGCAGGAGAAGGTATCATGAGCAACCCAGCCGGAACCGGAGAAGCAGGAGCTGGAGCGGGTCCAAGCCTGGAAGAAAGGTACCAGATGTTGGAGGTCCAGCTAGCGATGCAGACGGCGAGGCTTGAGGAGAGGAGGGCTCAGGATGCAGACAAAGGGGGAAAGCCACCCAGTTCGCCAGAAAGGTACCAGGATTGGTGCAGAAGTTTGGGGGGGAGCCCAAAACTATCATGGTTTTCGGACAGAAATGCAATATGCCCTCAATCTGCAGTTTGATGAATTCCCTGACGAGGAATCACGAGTGGCTTTCGTGATTGAGCATCTTGAAAAAGGGGCGAGAGACTGGGTTAGACCCCTGATGGCAGCGAATAGTGACGTCTTAAAAGACACGATGAAGTTCTTTCGCGCCATGGATCTGATGTTTTCCAGCGATATTGAAAAGGGAGTGGTGCGCAGACAGTTAATGGGTTGCAAACAGGGGAGCCGATCTGTCCGTGAGTACTGGACTGAGTTCACCATGCTTGTTCACAGATTGGGGTGGGACTTATCGGCGGAACCCATTCAAATGCTCTTTGAAGAAGGGCTTTCTTCGGCTGTGAAAGACGAACTTTCCCGGGCGCCCAGGGCGGAGTCTATGGACCAGCTGACCAAATCAGCGCTGGCCATAGGAGCGCGCCAGGAGGCGAGAGCATTGGAGAGGCGGGAAGGGAAAGGGGAACGTTGGAAGGAGTTCCGCATTCCAGACATTCCAGAGCCAACTTTCCCACCGGCAGAGCCGATGGAAATCGGAACAGCACGCGCGCGCAGTTTCAAAGCCCAGTGAGGGGGCAAAGAAGGAGGAAAAGGCGCCCGGAAATGCTATCTCTGCCAACAGCCAGGTCACTTTGCCAGAGTCTGCCCCCAGAGGAAAGAATGGCAAGGGATGGTAGGGGCTGTGGATGGAAGAGAGGAAAATATACCGGAGCAAGTAAAGCCAACGCCTGGCTGCCACTGTCAGGGCACAGCAGCCAGGCCAAAGAGCAGTGAGAGTGCCCACGCCAGAACCTCCTAAACCCGCCCTAGTGATAGAAGTGACGCTAGAGCTGCCAAACGGACACCCTCTAAAGATAAAGGCGCTGTTGGACTCAGGCAGCTCCTGCAATTTCATGAGCAAAGAGTTTGCAGCTGAACACCAGATACAGACAATCCCTTAAGCAGCCCCCTGCAGGTGACCACGATCGATGGCAGGGAGCTGTTGGGTGGAGAAGTCAGCTTGCAGACCGTCCCAATGATAATGAAGGTAGCAAGGCACACCGAACTGATAGCTTTTAATGTGGCCACCTTGGGAGGAGCTCCCATTATATTGGGGATGAGCTGGCTAGCGTTACATGATCCGCTGGTGGGCTGGCATCAGAGAGTGGTTTCTTTTGGTTCAGCACATTGCTTAGAACACTGCAAAGAGGGAAAGGGTTTGGCAGGGGTCCAAGCCACCCTAGCAGGGACTGAAGTAACAGAGAACGTGAAGGTACCATGACAATATGCAGATCTCCGTGACGTCTTCAGCGAAAGGGAAGCTGACCAACTACCCCCGCATAGACCCTTTGACTGTCAAATCAACTTACTCCCTGGAGCACAGCTCCCTGTAGGCAAGCTGTACGCCATGTCAGACAGAGAGATGCAGGAGTTAAGAGAGTTCATTGACAAGAACCTGAAGAGAGGGTTCATCAGAGAGTCCAGGGCGGTGGGGGCAGCCCAGTGTTTTTGTGGATAAGAAAAACACGAACAAGCCGAGGCTGGTGTGTGACTTCAGGGCCTTAAATGCAGTGTCAGAACCAGTAGCCTTCCCTATGCCCAGGATTGACGACATTTTGACAAGGGTGCGGAAGGGAAAGATTTTACAAAGCTGGACCTAAGGGGGGCGTACAACCTGGTACGAATAAGGAAGGGGGATGAATGGAAAACCACTATGTTCACCCCTTTAGGGGCATTTGAATATTTGGTTATGCCCTTCGGCCTCCAAGCAGGCTCCGCAACCTTTCAATCGTTTATGAACCACGTCCTGGGGCCTTTGCTTTACAAGAATTGTGTGGCCTTTTTAGACGACGTGTTGGTGTATTCTGAGAATGAGGAGCAGCATGTGAGAGACGTCAGAGAAGTGTTGAGCAGGCTGCAAGCCAACCAGCTGTGGGTGAAACTGGAGAAGTGTCAGTTTCATACCAAGGAGGTGGAATTCCTGGGGTATCGCCTGTCAGACAAGGGATTGGCCATGGATCCCGGCAAGGTCCAGGCTGTGCTGGAATGGAAAGCACCCAAAACAAAGAAGGATGTGCAGAGGTTCCTAGGATTTGGGAACTTCTATCGTAAGTTCATCCGAAACTTTGCCCACCTGACGGCGCCCATTACGGACTGTCTCAGCAGTAAGAAGAAGTTCGTGTGGACTGAGGAGGCGGAGCGAGCATTTGAGGAACTAAAAGGGCCTTCGCCTCGGACCCACAACTCCTGCATGTGGATTTACAAAACCGATGAGAGTGGAAACTGACG